TCTCTTGAGCTTTCAGAGTCATCAGAGCTATCAAGATTTAAAGCTTTAAACTTATTTACAGAATCATCTAACAAATTACTCACTCCCTTGTCATTAGACATCCCGGGAGGTCCTTTTTCCTTATTTGTTGTTGTTTCTCTTCTTATACACACTCCCTTGTCACTAGACATCCCGGGAGGTCCTTTTTCCTTATATTTTATTGTTGGGCGCGCCCCATCTCTCACTACATTCGGTTTCTGACATGTAATTCTGGACTTCTTTAAGATTGCTACAACAGTGAGAAAGGTCAAAATGGCTCCTAGTAAAAGCACAGAAGCCTCTACACTAACCTCCCAAAATAGCAACATTCCCAAGCCAAAGTATAGAAAAGACATACCTCTCCGAATTTACCACCCTGCAGTTCTGAATCCGCCTTGTAGCCAAGGGGTCTCCGCGGTGCCGGCGATGTTAACAAGTTCCCGGGTTTCGGCACCAGATGTCCCGCGCGATATTCTCGCCGGCAAGAATCACACAGGACATTCGGATCCTTCTGCAGGAAAGCTTTAATGCATCTTGAGAGAGGAGAGCATAAGCTTACCAGAGCGGAGACCCCGAGCCAAGAATCCCGTCCCCTAATAAAGGCTGGCAGCCCTGCCTGGGACGTGTCACCCTATGAATGGCTTCAGCTCCTCAGGCCATATGAGCCACGGGATAGGCAGAGATCAAGGAAATGGAAAATTACCCAGGGCCTGCGAAATAATTTACATTCAGTGCCTGCAGGCACCATCATTGTAATGGAGAATGCAGGGACGGCTCCCTACACTCTTCTGGCATGGAAGCAGAACATATAAAATAAAGATATATCTTGTTTTTGTTTGTTTGTTTGTTTGTTTGTTTGTTTTCTGTGTGTTTGGAGGCTGTCCTGGAACTAGCTCTTGTAGATCAGGCTGGACTCGAACTCAGCCCCCCGAGTGCTGGGATTAAAGGTATGCGCCACCAACACCCGGCGATAAATATATCTTTAAAAAAAAATAAAACGAACAACTGTGGTTTATGAAGTTGGAGTGTAGACAAAAGTTCTAGAGTAAACCTAATTTTCCTTGGCTAGACCTCAAATTTCTAGAACAGACCTAATTTTACATAAATTTACTCTTTAACTTGATTGATAATTTAGGGCTGGGAATATAATGCTTGCCAGGCATACATGATGAGGTCTTCAGTTTAATCCTCAGCACTGCAAAGAAAAAGAAAAAAGAAGTTGATATCTTAACATGGAACAAACATGAAGTAGTTCTTACAGTAATTTTCAAAGTTAAAGAATAGAAATTTGTTCCAACCTAGAATATGTAGTTTTCTTACTTAAATACTACATCATAAATATTGCTCTTATCTTTGCTTGCTGTTTCTTTCTCGAGACAGGGGTGCATGTGTCATGTATCCCAGGCTGGCCTTGAATTTGATACATAGCCTAACGGTGACTTTGAACTGAGTTTCCTGTCTCCGCTCCTGAATGCTGGGCTTAAAGACATGTACCAGCTTGGCTGGCTTTATGTGATGTTTGATTTCAAACCCAGGACCTCCTGCATGACAAACAAATGCTCTACCAGCAGAGCCACACCCCAGCTCTATTTTGTGCAAGAACTTCAGGAGTCACTGAGTAACCTGGTCCACTGTGGCTTTTCTTTTCCTGTCACACACATTCTACTCCATGAGACAATTCTTCCATAAGCCTCGTGCCAGATGTCTTCTTTGTTTTTCCACGGCCACTTGGCACCTCTCTGCAGCCTCCTTAGCACCCGAGGAGGCTGCCATCTGAAACAACTCTGTCCACCAGGTTTCTTCCCTGTTTGGCTCCTGCAGGTTTTGAGCATAAAATCAAAAGAGGGGGATGGAATAGTGGTAGTATTTACTGATATAGTGGTGTTATTTATTGTCTATTCTTAACAATCCAGGTTGGCTGTGTTCTTAGACCAAAAGTTACTGTTTCTCCCAAAGAGGCCAATTGTACAAGACTCTCTGGAGCTATAGTAACCATTCCCTCCCTTCATCTTTTCCTGCCCAGGGTTTGGAGTATTATTCTCTCACTTACCCCTATAATCTCCTCACTCAGTCCCAGACCCTTGCAAAGAGTTTGTCATGTTGAGATTTAGACTCATATAATCTCCTATAGGAGAGCTGGCTGAAATTGGACCAAATTGACAAAAAAATATGCCCTTTAAGCCAGGGGTTGAAAATGGGTATATGGTAAGTGAGCCACACCACAGTCATTGGTATCTGACTAAAAGCACGCCTAGAGCTCCAGGTTAGAAAGCTTGCCTGGCCTATGTGAGCCCTCAAGTCCCAGATTCAAGCACCTTCCTGGAAAGAATCTGGAACTCAGGCAGGATGGGGTGGGGGGAGCAGGTGGCAGTGACCCTGGAGAGCTGTGCAGCTGACATCTGGATAGATCAAGCTTAGGAACTTGTCAAGTGAGAACAGTATTTTAAATATCCTGCTAATAAAACTAAGGGTTTTATTTCCCCCAAACCAAGGGACTGGAACATTATTCCAATTTCCCACCAGGATACTAAAAAAAAAAAATCTCATGAAGAAGCTAGAATTACAACTGGGAAAACTCATGCAAGATAATGACTAGCTAGAATTTGTCTTCCAGTGACTAAGGGGCCTCCTCGCTGGGAGAGAAGCCCTTTAAAAATATGACACGAATCTCAGAGGCCGACGGTATAAACACGAATCATTTCAGATGGAAAAATCATTGTAAGAAAATGTCACTGCAGATGCCAATAGCTAGGAAAACAAACAAATAAAAGTCAGATGATAAGATGGGGAAAAGATTTGTAGCACATATCAAAGTGCCTTCAAATGATTCTTTCTGGTGGCTTCTCTTTCCATTTTACAGGGTTTTGATGGAGATTTGCTGACTTTTTTTATACTTCACTGTTGCCGGAAGTCTTGCTGGATCCTTAAAACACAATCACACAAACACAATCTCAGTTGTTTTTGCACAAAGTACCTAACAGCTACCATGTGTTAAACAGCTTTCTGTCGCTGTAATTGAAATGACTGAAGTCATGCCATCTTGTCCTGATCTTACACTCACTTTACTTTATGTCTGCTCAGGTGTTTTTAGTCCCTGACCCTGAACAGTCACGTCCACCTTGGCAACACATTAGGGACTTTCCATGACCCTGCCCATGGCCCCAATGCATAACCAAAATATCTGCTCAACATATAGCACAAACAAATGTCACCAGGTTCCCCTGAGCTATAGCTGGCAATAATGTCATTCAGGGTTTTGACTTTAAAAACTGTATGAGCTTTGTGCCAAGAGGTTTTCTGAGGCACTAGTCTGCTCCAGTTTAAATAAATAACTCTAACATGGCCTTATATGCATGGTGGTATGTAACTGTCTCACCTGGCCTATAGCATGAGAAACATTGGAGACAACTCACAGAGAAAAAAGTTTATTTTGCATCACAGTTAACAGGTTCTAAACCATGACCCATTGACCCCATTGCCTTTTGGCCTCTGGTAAGACAACATGTCACAATGGGGATGTGTGGTGGAACAAGACTATCAACATTATGGCCAACAAGCAAGGGCAGAGGCAGAGGTTCTGCCACCCTTTCGAGGCCATAAACCCCTGATGTGAAGACTTCCAGTTAGGTCTCACCTCCTAAAGGGTCCAGCATCTCCCAGTAGCACCACTGTGGGGATCAAACTTTTACCATATAGACTTTTGAGGGGGATTTAAGAACCAAACTACAGCTTGAGGTTCTCCTGCCCATCCTTTGGTGAAGATTTAAGGCCCTAAATAGTTCCCTATGGCCAGAAAAGTGAAAGAAGGAAACAAAGTCAGGAAGGTAGCAAGAATTCAAAATGAAGAGCTGGAGGTGGAGGCGGGGAATCATCATATAAAAGAATCTCCAATGACGATACTCTGTGCATAAAACATTATCTAATGACTTCCAGAAACAGGCCTGACAGTTACAGTAATTATTGTAGACCTGGGATCCCCAAGTTGCCAAATCTCATAGTAGGAAGTCATGAGTAGCCCTTCTTCTAAAGTCTAACTCCAGCATCCAACAGCAGTTTCCAGGTAAACTATCTGGATCTTTTCATATTCAGATCATGGTCCAGTCTAAACATACCCAGTTTATAGCTTAGATTATAAACTATAATCTATATTATTATAGATTTAAACTACAATCCACACCTCCAGAGGTCAGCTTTCACTATCTGAAATCATTCCTTTATGTTGATAAATTAATGCATTTTAAGCTTGTACTTTTGTCATAGTTGACCATAAAATTAGGTCATTGTTGTATGAAGAATGTTTCTGTCTGCAGTGGTGCTGGTGTTGGGAAAGTCATAGATGCAAAATGTAGGTGTTTTTGAGTACACCTGCCACTGACTCTCTTAAAGAGCTCTTGGATATGTTCAAATTTTCTATATAAACAAAGAGGAATTTTTTTGCCTGTGCTGCATGGTAACTGCCTGTGATAAATTACAATTATCCATTTTTATATTTTTATTCTGTCAGTTACTAAAAACTATAAATGTTCTATGTATTTAGTGTGTGTGTGTGTGTGTGTGTGTGTGTGTGTGTGTGTGTGTAGGGCTATGATGGTAGTATTCCATAACTTGACCCAAGATGCTGTTCATTATACAACTTACTGTGTTTGTTAGAATAAAAACGTTGAATTTTAGCCTGGCATGGTAGTGTACTTCCGTATAGCTCTCAGAATGCTGAGGAAGAGAGAATACAAGTTCAAATCCAGGCTGAGCTACAGAGAAAGACTCTGTCTCTTAGACCAAGTTGAGGTTTTTTTTTTTTTTACATTTCAATTTTTGTTTCTTTAGAAGGAGTGAGTTGTGTACAGGGGGTTTAAATGCTTTATAGACAAAAAAAAAACTGCGCTAGAACCAACTTATTCATCATTATCATCTTCTTCTTCTTCATCTTCGTCTTCCTCTTCTTCCTCCTCTTCCTCATTCTCTTCATCCTCTTCCTCATCTTCCTCTTCCTTCTTTTTCTTGCTCTTTTCTGCCTTAACAACTCCCCTTTTCACTGCATCAGGTTTTCCTTTAGCTCTGTAAGCAGCAATATCCTTTTCATACTTCTCCTTCAGCTTGGCAGCCTTCTTTCCGTAGGGCTGCTTGTCCTCTGCAGCAGTGTCGTTCCACATCTCTCCCAGTTTCTTTGCAACATCACATTGGGTGTTCTCCTTTGATTTTTGGGCGATACTCAGAACAGAACAAGAAGAAGGCCGAAGGAGGCCTCTTGGGTGCATTGGGGTCCTTGAACTTCTTTTTGGTCTCCCCTTTGGGGGAGATGTAGGTTTTCATTTCTCTTTCATAACGAGCCTTGTCAACCTTTGCCATGTCTTCAAATTTCCCCTTTTCTTTAGCAGAGGGTCTTCCACCTTTCTGAGCACTTCTTCGTGAACTCTGAGAAGTTGACAGAAGTATCCGGGTGCTTCTTCTTGTGTTCCTCTTGGCAAGTTTGCCCAAAGAATGCATATGAGGACATTTTGTCTCTCGGCTTCTTAGGATCTCCTTTGCCCATGTTTAGTTGACTTTCGTCCGAAAGGCACAGAGTCGCCCAATGCCTGTCCGGCTCGCGCTTGCCCCAGCGCTCTCTATGGAACTCAAGGTACTGCAATGGCTGTGAGAGCAGGAGCCAGACACAGCTTCCTCACTCTCTCCGCTCTGTAACATTACCCGAGTTTTACTTTATGTAAATTATAATTTAATAAATTTGGCTTTAAAAAAGTCCACATTTACTTAGACATAGACTAATCTGATAAACAGTGTTTTCCTAAACTGAGATTCTAGTTACTGTATGAATACTTTAGTATTAAGATTTTTACCAAAAGAACTCGTGAATGTTTCAAATACATTTTAAATAAGATTTGTTTCATTTTTATTTATTTTGAGTATGTCCCTGTGTATGTATATGTGCACATGTGCTGGTTCCAACAGGACCAGGAAAGGGCATCAGACCCTCTGGAGTTGGGAGTTACTGGTCATTGTGAGCTGCTCAACACTAGGTTAGGGAACCAAACTCAGGTCCTTGGTGAGGGTAGCAAGGCTCTTAACCGTTGAATCACCTCTTTAGTCTCTCAAGTAAATTCTTTCCGGAATCATTTTTACTAAGTTTACTAAGTTAGAATTTGGGCCCAAACTACAGATATATCTAAAATCCAGTTCAGATATATAGAAAACTCAGATATGTCCCCTTATGATTAGTCTAGATCAAACTAACTTAAGCCAAGTCCCACTCACTATGTTGCCATTCACCTATTCCCTGCAACTCAGCCAGCCATGGCAGCATTTGGATCTGAATGAGCCCTTCAGGGCTCCCATACTTGGTTTTGACTATTTAGTGAATTTAGACCTTTAAGGCAGTCCCTAATGAGAAATTTTCCATGAGGAACTTGTATACTATGTCAAATTGCAACCAACCAAATGTCTCCTAGCATTGGAATTTGCCAGACAAGTGATGAGTGGGACAGTGGACCCCACACTAGGTACAGTAATTTATCTACTGCTTATACTTTTTATTGAGCATTAGCCCACAGAGATCAGAAGAGGCACTGGGTCTCCTGGAACAGTACTTACAGATGGTTGTGGGCTGTCAGGTGGATGCCAGGAATGGAACCCAGGTCCTCTGGAAGAGCAGTAAGTAAGCTCTTAAGAGCTGAGCCATCTTTCCAGCCTCTGTGAGTGTTAGTTTTGTTTCTAATTGTATCCAGTTCAAAATACTTTGGAATATAAAAAAAAATGAAGTGGGATAAAACGTTGCAAATTCCAAGTTTTCGGCTTAAAATAGAAATTACATTCTATAATATAATTCAATGTGTAGGTCTCAACACTTATTTCATGTGAGAAATTTAAACACATGTAACCCCTTTGATTCCAGTCTCTTAAAAAGGCTTACAATTAGCTTCTTTAGGTTTAATTTATGCCGCCTCCAGATCTGTTTAATATTTAATCAAGGCTCAAGATTTTTGGTCCCTTGAATCTTTCTTCTTCTAGAGGAGAGACTAGCAAGCTTATATTGGTTAAAAATTGGTCTTAATGTTTGACTATCACTTTTAGATCACAGCCCTGTTTCTGGTCTGATGGAAAGAGTAACATGGCAAGCCCCAGGCCAAGTCTGAGGACTCCGTCTATCAGTCCAGTTTACTTAACAAGATTTAAACATGGCATACCAAGAAATCCCTTTCTCACTTGTGAGACAGAGGCAATCCAGTTTTGTGTACCAGCCTCTTAGATTTTTTTAAAAACAAATCTCTAAATTACTAAGTGAATTATTCAAAGGAGTTCGCTGAGGTCAATTTGTTTTACTTTCTAGGACTTATAACTCCTGATGGAATGGGAACTAATATGCACCATTCATGAAATAAGACCCATTTCAATTTGTGTATTGTATAACTTGAAACACTCTTCCATTATTATTATTTATAGTTGTCAGGTCTCTCCAGATAAATAGAGCTTATTATATTGATATTGATATTGATATTGATTGTAGATAGACAGACAGACAGGGGATTTATTATATGAATTGGCTCATGCAATTATGGAGACTGTCCTGCAATAGTTCATCTCCAGTTCAGACTATCAGGGAAGCAGGAATCATGTTTCACTCTAAATCCAAGAGCCTCAGAATCTAACGGGAGAAACTGGTGACTAAACGGATGTTGATTCCAAGAGCAGAGACTCTGGAGTATAGCATCCCAGGGCAGGATAAAAGGAATGCTCCAGCTACAGAAAGCAGAAAGCAGACTTTTTCCCTTCACCTTTTTGTTCTATTCTGACCCCCAGACAATTGGACAGTTTTCACCCACATCATATGGAGGATCTTCTGTTTACCAAGTTCAAATGTCACTGTCCTTGGAAAACACTATGACTGGCACAAACAGAAATAATTCCTTTCTGTCTAGCAGGTGTCTGTTGAGTCAAGTTGATATCCAAAATCAATCATCAAACTAAGTGACTGACTCTAAGGACATTTTTTTGCATCTTCAAAAGTCCAGTATATTTTAAATGATGGCCCTACTCTCTGTGTGGCAGGAAGTTCAGCCAGGTTTCTAGTATCAGGGAAGGTTTCCTTCACTCTGGTCTAGGGGTTGGTCTACTATTTACTGAGAATTATTTATCAAACATTATTAGTTACCATACAGGTAGAAAATGGGGCAGATATTAAAAATAATCAAGGCCTAGTTTTTTGATTCAAGTGTCTTATAATTCAGTTGGTGGACCAATTGTGCCTACATTAAGAATTTAGGCAATATAATACAGTTTCATTACATTGCAAATGGATAAATAGGACTTCATTTAGTACCAGAGAAGTTCAGTATATATAGAGCAACTTGAAGTTAAAAGTATTATAGGGGCTACCAGAATTGAGATAGAAATGGTTTTTCTTTAGTTTAGAGGTATATGGATTTTTTGTTTGTTTGTTTGTTTTGTTTTTGTTTTGTTTTTTGAGACAAGATTTCTCTGTAGGTTTGGAGCCTGTCCTAGAACTTGCTCTGTAGACCAGGCTGGTCTCGAATTCCAGAGATACACCTGCCTCTGTCTTTCGAGTGCTGGGATGAAAGGCGTGTGTCACCAATGCCCGGCTGGTATATGGATTTCTTAAGAAGCAAAGTAGATAAATGAATTTAAATCCTGGGTCTACAGTTTAGTATCAACATGCAAACTTAGATGAATTATCTTACTTTCTTTAGTCTGTATGTTTCAGAATAATAAAATAAACAACAGTCAACTGTTATTTTATAGTCTCAGGTGGGTGTCCAAAGTATCCCAGGCTGTGAGTCTAAACCAATGAATTTCTTGCAACTCAGTACTTAACATCCAAAGGTAAACAAGAGATTGGGCAAGAGAAGACGGGTTTAATGGTGGGGCCTGGTTTATACTTAAGAGATTACAAATTCCCCTTGACAGTTTGTGGTGGGAGTGGCTCTCTTGCAAAATTCCAAGGGAAATGTCTTTGGATAGTCTTGCTTGCCTTTGGAGTAAACCACCTCAGACATATTTTATTTTAGATGATTCTTCCCCAACTTTTATTTTTCCCAGATGTCTGATGTCTAAAACCTTACCAGTTTTATTACTTAAGTTTAGATTTTTTTTTCTATATCCCAGGAGGAAGGCACATAATCCTGTTGTTGATTGAGGTTTAACAATATGGTGGTCATTACCCACTCTCCTCACTGTGTAGTGTGGCTATTACCTACTTAACTCAATCTAGCTGTCTTGCTTGAGTTGCACCAAGTTTCTAGAATTGTTTACAAATTTCTTTAGGGAATGAATCATGTAGAAATACTTTGCAGAGCCATACCTTAGGAGACAGAGGCAGGTGGATCTCTGAGTTCAAGGCCAGCTTGGTCCTGGTCTAGAAAGCAAGTTTCAGGACAGCCAAGTATATACAGAGAAGCCCTGTCTCAAAAACAAACAAACAAACAAACAAACAAACAAACAGACAGACAGAAGAGAGAGACATACTTTGTAGAACAGTCATTGATCTTACCATCTTCCCTACCTTAGACATGTCTAGCACACTGCAACAGCAAAAGGAACTGAATAGCAAATAGCACATTGCAGATGTTCTCACCTGCATTTTCTTCCTAACAGTCTTGCAAACCTGTAAAACAAGGAACAGACTGAGATTCCCGAAGACAGTTTTGGAGCTTCTAGAAATAATTGCAACAGGTAAAATAAGACTGGATGTTAGGAAGAAAAACAAAATGCTCTAAGCAATCTCAGGAACTATTCTCTGGTGGTCAATGATTTAGCACAACCTGGTTTACTGAGTTTAAGAAGAGCTCTGTGCTCTTCCTAACACAAAAATTATCTAGCAAAACATATGCTCACTTAGGATGGATTCACAGCAAGGCCCACTCCCGGGTCATTTCAACCCTTGCATTTCATTACCAGAGGCCCTGGTAATGAGAGATTAGTAGAAGACAGCCATTTTGTAGATTCTTCGAAAACAAATCCATCTTTAAAACTTTTTACATTACATTTTACTTATTTACATATTCTTGTGTGTCTGTGTGAGTGTACATGTGTGGAGGTCTGAGGGCAACTTAGCTAGGCTGGACCTCTCGTGCTATGACGTGGAGTCGAGTTCATTAGGCTTAGTGGCAAGCACCTCCACTCCCTGGGCTGTCTGATCAGCTCATCCACGGGCTTTTGACTTGTGAAATTACTATTATTAATTGCTTTTTTGAGACAGGGTTTCTCTGTGGCTTTGGAGGCTGTCTTGGAACTAGCTCTTGTAGACCAGGCTGCCTTCGAACTCACAGAGATCCCCCTGCCTCTCAAGTGCTGGGATTCCAGGCCATGCTCTGCTTGATATATGAAATTCTAATCTAGACTGACAACAGTTTCATTCTCTAATTTAAAACTCGACTTCTTAGTCTGTTTCAATGAACTTAAGGTTTTAGTGGGGGTGATAAGAATTCTGGCACTGAAGAAGACAAGTCATCTGTAATTTCGTCTGGGGAATGACTTTGAGATGTATTCAAGGTAAGCAGGAAGAATTGCTGGAGAATTCTTTGTAGCTTTTAAATTGGAATGACTGGGGAAAAAAAGGTGGGATCCAGGGTATCACAGTGGGTTTAAGATCAGGCTTCTTTCATTTAATGTGGCTAAAACAAACAAACAAAAAAAACAAAACAACCCAAAACAAACAAACAAAAAAACCAAACCAAAACCTGCATCCTTGTAGAAAAAGTTATTTAAACCTAATTTAATTAAAAGGGCAGAAGCTATTTGTGTCAGAGGACGACTTTGTGTTGTTGGTTCTCTCTTTACATGGGTTCCAGGAATCTAACCTGGTTATCAGGCTTCCTTGGCAAGTACATATATCTATCACCTGACCTCTATCACCAGCTCTATTTTTATATTTTGAGCAAGGAAAACAGGGATGTTGAATGTAAAGGAAACGTGCCTAGGCTAGTTTATCAGGCTTATAGTCACTGTACTTTTCATGACTCTGAATGTGAAATAGGGCAGGGTCTCCCACTCTTTGGCAAACATCTGCATTTGCCTCAAGTTAACGATCCAGTGACTATTACTTCCAGTGTGCTGTGTTATCCTAACAGGTTGGATAGAGATGGGGGCTGGGGAAACAGGTCTAAAGGCAAAAGGTAACTTACACAAATCTTCTAGGAAGTTTTTAAGAGGGCTCGGCTTCCCAATGGATGTGCTTGGCAGAATACCAAACTGCCTGAGACCGGAGTAAGATGCAGATGACTCTCCAGCTAATGTCTCTCACAAAGTAAGTTTCCCCATGGCGTGAATGAGGACTTACCAAAGGAGGAAAAATTCAGAGATTTCATAGCGTGGTACATTATCTCAGAGTTTAGAAAATAATGAAATATGCTATAAACATCCTGTGGACGTCATTTAATGTTTTAAAGTAATAATAGAGCCTAATTCCTTTTCGTTTCCCACTACAAATGAATGATGCAATGAAAAAACAAAAAGCCTAGACTAGTAGACTAGGCGTGTTCGAGGCCCTCAGGGGCAATGTGGCGAGCTCTAGACCGAACTGGGCTATGGAGTGAGAGTTTGCAATAAAACCAACCAAAATAAAAAATCCAATAAACCCAAAAAGCAAGAGGCCAGAAAAAAAAAGAAAACAAAGAAGCAAAGAAGCCGGAGCACATTTGTCAAACATTTATCCCTTCC